AAGAACTTCTCTGTTTCTGACTTTAATCTTTTCAGAACTATTCCTTGCATACTTGTTTTTGTTTTTGGTTTTGGTTTTGTTTTTCCCGGAACTGGGGATTGAACTCAGACCCTTGCACTTGCCAGGGAAGTGCTTATTCTACTGAGCCATCTCCCCAGCCGTTCCTTGCATATGTTTTATCTCCTGGTTCTAACTATGATGCTAAAGATAAAGGCAGATACATTTCGCATACATTTAGCTGTCTGAATACACATGTATACACATCTTAAAGTTGCACCACATAAAACTTATTCAATAAATTCTTGAAGAAAACTGTTCTGCAAAACAAGAAACAGGGCAGCCAGATAGCTCAGCAGATTGAAGTGCCTGCTTAGGCAAACACAGGGACCCGGGTTCAGTGCCCAGCCTGCTGTGCTGGTCCTGCCCCCAGAGCACGCTGAAATGGTATTGAGACTGGGCACGGTGTCACGCTCCTGAATTCCCAGTGCTTGGGAGGCTGAAACTAAGAGGCTCACTACAAGTCGGATCTGTGCAGTGAGATCTTATAGACCCTGTGGTAAATACATACAAACAAAATTTTAAAAAACAAGAAAGATCTCCTTAAATATTCAGTTAACCCAACACTTCTCTAATATTTTCCATACGATAACAAATAATTCAATAGCCAAAAAATCAATAGTTTCATTTATATCTGTTTGTTATTATGTAATGAATTCATACTGTGTACATACTAACATTGAAAATAAGTCTTAATGGGAAGAATAGCACGGTGACATGGAATTTTCCTATGAATTCTGTGACAAAATTAAATAAAAACTACAAGATTATATCTAACAGTCTTAAATCAAGGAGCAGTATCAAATAGTTTGTCTGTAGACATAGCTCAGTGACAAAGCACACCTGAGCACAGTCCCTGGTACTACACGAAGATGCCCAACTTGTATATTTGAATGCATTTCTATGTTCTGTCATTCGAAATACATTTCAGTAGGAACTTTTCCCTTTAAAATATAGTAAAAGTTGAATGAAGCATTCTAAAGAAGACAGAAACGTTAGCCTTGGTTAACTGGCATCATAAATAATAAATTTAAACTGCTGGGGGAAAAAAAAAAGAAGAAGAAGAAGACAGAAAAGGATATGAAACAACCTTCACAAATACTTGGCCAGCTCTGGCCTATGAGGATACTACATAAGCTGGCATGTCCTCTCTATTTAATATAAAATGAACCTTATACTCAAAGCCTCAGCAAATGATGCTACTTTGTGTAAAGGGGGAAAAAGAAGTTAAAAATATCTGATGTATGAATTACCCAACATGCAAGCTCATCGGTCTCCACGACACCCAGCTGCCCCATGACAGCTCATATCCTTCAAAGCGTATTTATAACTGGGCAATGGAAGGTGGAAATGTTATACTTTTGATCTTCCCCATCAGCCAACTATTGCTCACAGCTTACCAAAGGAAAAAGCCACGGACTGGGTGTCCAAAGCGCAGATGCCGAAAGCGTCTCCGCTGCCTTCCCTTCCCCTTCCCTGGATGCAGGTCAGAACCAAAACTTGACTCGTTTAAGCAGCCGCCATTCGTCTAAATAGTTTTGAAAACTAGGCAGGCCTTAATTATTACAATGCACAAGATGAATGCATTTTTAGAGTAAACTTCACGTCATCGTCCCCTGGAAGATAAATAAAACCTTGCTTACCAACCACCAACTATTTCATATGCTAACAACTTTCGGGTGCGCAGTGTTAGGCTGCCCTCTAGTGGAATAAAAATAGGATCCTACTGCTGCTAAGAACTCTTTAAATGCCTATTAAGTAGACTAAATCACACCCAAACAGACACACACACACACACACACTTACACACGTCATTAATATGCACCAAAAGACAATCTGGACTTGGTGACAGCTTCCTAAGAAATGACTTGAAAGCAGATGCTATTGAATTTCAAATAATACCTTGCCAAAGTCTATGAAAAACAGTTTATTTAACAGCAGCCAGTGAGGTTGTCTTTATTTTTTAATCAAAAAATTTTGTTTTGTATTTTAGAGAAGGGATTATGGGGTGTTCAGGGTCTCACTACTGTAGTGATTCTCCTGTTTACAGCCTCCCAAGTACTGGGATTACAGGCACGTCACCAAGCCCAATCTCAACTGCCGTCTCAGCCCGCCCCGAGGGCAAGCAGGCACAGCAGACCTGGGGATCGAACTCGGCCCCTGTGCCTGCCTGCAGGCGCTTTAATCTGCTGAGCATTTGGCTGGGCCTTTTTTTGGTTGGTTGGTTGGCTTTTGTGTGTGTTGTTTGTTTGTTTGTTTGTTTCTTTTTTTGTATTTGGGACAGGGTGTACAGGGTCTCACTACGTAGATTGGACTTGTAGTGATCCTCCTGTTTACAACCTCCCAAGTGCTGGGATTACAGATTACGCACACAAAATTTTAAACCAATATAATTTAAATAATCAGTGTTTGATGTGGACCCATGCATCCACTCTTCCATCCTCCAAAATCTTACTTTTTTCATTTGCTTCCCAGTCTAAAGCCAAGGGGCTGAGACCTCTCCTGTTATTCCTTGGGTGAGTTTCATCAAGCTATGAGCTAGGTCGCTGTGCAATATTTAAAATGTCATCAGCATAGCAATAATAATCGTAGTGAAGTGGTGCCTCAAAGTGGAGATACATGGGGGCCTGCCCATTAGCTCAGGTAACCGCCTGAGAGCCTGCTGAAACAAAGTGGAGCTATATTTCGTCTTTCTATGCGATATTCTGTCCCTGGAAGTAATCACTGTTGAAGTATTTGCTTGAAGTATGTATATGCCTGTAAGCCTGGGTTCCCTAGAGAAAATCAAACATAGGTAAAGCTTGTAAGCTAATGTTTTCATAGGGGGTAAATGCCTACCGGAGCAGTGTGATGGCTTGGAGCCCCGTGTGCTAGCAGGTTCCTGCCCTGGGGAAGGGCCCTGGACTGTGGGGACTTGAGCTTGCTCCTGGGAGGTGGGGTCTGCCCAGAGAAGGCGCTTGGGGGGCGGGCCTGGGGAATCAGCACCCTTCCACCTCCCCCCATCTTTTTATTCTGCCTCCATGAAATGAGCGGTTTTGCTTGCTCCGTGTCCCCCACCCCCCTCTCAACCCACTAGAGCCGGAAATGAGCCAAAATAAACCTTGAGTTGTGGGTGTCAGGTGTTTTGTCCTACTAACAAGAAAAGTGGAGAAGACAGGAGGGAGCAAAGTGGAAGGGACAGGCAGGAAAGCAGCGTGAGTGGCCCACTGCCCGGACCTTCGATTGGCTCCAAGCCCCGGGTGCTCCGTTCTGTAGGACCCTGGTCAGAGCTGATTTCTGAGGCCTCCGGCCAGGGCAGGCAAGCGACTTAGCTGCTGGTTCCTGGGCTCCACCAGTCTTCCGCGGATGCTCAGTCTCCCCAATATTTTCAGGCCCTAATTTTAATGACAAAGTGTTTTTCGGACACTCCACTCAGCCTCAGCAAACTGGGACAACTGATCACACACCTCCGACCGAGAGCAGCGGGTCAGATGGAGGAAAGGCAGGCCAAAGACACAAAGTGGGGCCATGCGCACTCTTCCAGTCCTGTACCCCTGGAATAAGGCAGTAGACAGAGGCCGAGATCATCAGAGGCAGCTGATGTGAAGGCAGTAGAGTTCATTTATAATTTCCTGTCTCTGTCACTGATTCAACCAGAATCTCTGAAAACATTACTCAAAAATCCTCTCAGGGGCCGGCCAGATAGCTCAGCAGATTAAAGCACCCGTTGTTTTTTTTTGTGTGTGTTTTTGGTTTTCGTTTTTGTTTTTGTTTTGTAGTACCAGGGATTTTCTCAGGACTTTGTGATTGACAGGCAAGCACTTATTCTCCTGAGCTATCTCCCTGACCCCAAAGTACCTGTTTAAGCAGGAGCAGCAATCGGGGTTCCATTCCCATGCTGTTGTCAGCCCTGTCCCGGGGCCTGCTGAGACGGAGACTGAGATTGGGCATGGTGACACATACCTGTCATCCCAGTGCTTGGGAGGCTGAAAACAGGAGAATCACTACAAGTCCAATCTGTGTAGTGATACCCTGTAGACCCTGTACCAAAAAAAAAAAAAAAACCTCTCAGTAGTTTTTGACACATCGCATATTCTATAAATTTCATTTTCTCAAAAATAATACATCTCGGGCCAGGGAAATGGCTCAGTAGAATAAGCGCTTGCCTGGCAAGTGCAAGGGCCTGAGTCCAATCCCTGGTTCCGCCAAAAAAAAAAAAAAAAAAATTAATAATAACAATAATACATCTCCTAAAGTGTTTAGGGCTTTAGTTGTGGGCATGCATTGTCTATTTGAGAAAAGGTTTCACTATGCACACAGTTCAGGCTAGCCTCAAACTCACTTTGTAGCCCAGGCTGGCCTGGAACTCACAGAGACCCTCCTGCCTCAGCCTTCTGAGTGCTGACATTATTGGTTTGTGCCACCATATCTGGATCCTGAAGTCTTGTTTTCTTTTTTTCTTTTTAAAAAATACAAAATAGAAAAAAAAAATCACAAATGATAAAACATTTCATTGCACAATGTCATAGGAATTCAGCAATGGTTGTTGTATTGCATAATGTTATCTTCAAATTAGTTGTTTAGGTTATAAGATATAAACTCGCAAAATTGGTTTAAAAGAAAAATAGAACAACAAAAAAAAAGTTATAGGGCCAGCCAAATAGCTCAGCAGATGAACCTCCTGCTTGCAGGTGCCTGAGGTTTGATCCCAGGGCCTGCCGTGCTGGCCTGGCTCCCAAGGTGCACCGAAAGGGCAAGTGAGACTGGGCATGGTGGAGCGCACCTGTAATCCCAGCTCTTGGGAGGCTGTAAACAGGAGGATCATTACGAGTCCGACCTAGTAGTGAGACCCTGAACACCCTGCAGACCCTTCCCTAAAATACAGAAAGAAAAAGGAAGTTATAATAAATTTTTTAAATAATTTTTTAATTTAAGCATTAACTGTTCCTTTCAATAAACCAGCAGAAATCTGCAGTACAATTATCTAAATTAGCCTATATATACACAAATATATCTTTTGCCTCCTTTCTCTTGTCCTGGATCCTGAAGTTTAAATTGCTACATCGTGGGCTGTTGTCCTCATGCGTCCCAGGCCTCCGGGCCTGTTCCTCCACCCGATCTGCTGCAGGAGACCTGGGCCTCGTGCTTTGTCTTTCTTTGTGGACACCCATGCTTTGGTGGCGCACATACTCCAGGAGCTTCCTGAAGGTAAGAAAAAAATCGACAGAGGTAAATATTTTAAAGATTTACATGTCAGAAAATTGTTTTTATTCTACTTGCACAGTGCTAAGATTGATGAGGCATAAAACTGTAGGTTAGAAATCATATTCTTTACAAGAGTGAGGGTTTCTATCTAGATGTCCTGGAAGAGCTGCATACTGTCACAGACCAGGCTTCAGGAAGGTGACGGGCTGTGGGGACCTAGCGCGACTTGCCATTAGGAGGTGGGGTACAGTGAGAAAGCAGAGGACTGGGGCACCTTCTGTCTGTTTCTCTCCATCCGTCACCTGTTCTGCCTTTCTCTCTCCCTCCTCCTTCTCTTTCCTCTCCCTTCACCTCCTCCATCTTCCTCTCCCTCTTTCAAACAGGTATCCATACTTCAGATCACGCCATCAGACACTCAAACTGCCAGGGGAGGTTGATTCCATAAATCCTTAGCATCTTCTGGAATGTTTCAAAGTGAACTGGACCACTGCCGAGATTTTCAGGTATGCATAATTCAGTATTTTTTTAAAAGCTTCATATCGGCTAAGGCTTCTTTCATGAGAAATTTTCACCAAACAGGAGAGGAAACCTCACAGAAACAAGTGGCCTTGGTGGTACTGACCACAGTCCTGGGTTCCTCCAAGGCTAGGTCACTGCACTGTGATCCATCCCACCAGCCTCCAGCCTGACAGGACAGCTGACCTTTCTGAGCAGATGCTGAGGTGGAACACCAAGACTCCACAGGGTCACTTTTTAGAACAAGTACCAGCCTACAAGAAACGACCACCATTAAGGATGAATGAAAAGAAGGCAACAACTAGGAAAAGATTTTATGACCAAAAAATAAAATAAAATAAAATAAAATAAAATAAAATAAAGGGCCACTGATGAATGTAGAAAAAGTGTGTTAGTTGATATTGTGTCAACTTGGCTGAATCAAGCAGTTGCTGCCCCTCCTCTGCTCTTCATTGTTTTCTGCCGCATGACCTGCTGTCGCTTGCCTTGGAGCCAGCGGAATATGGACTGAACCCTCCAGTAACTGTGAGCTAAATAAACCTTTCCTTCCTTCATTTTGAGTGTTGGGTATTTGTCCCAGCAATGAGTAAAAGGTAACTAAAACAAGAAGGAAACAAAAGGGTATGTTTTGCAAAAAGAGATTTAAGTATTAGATTGCATGCTTGTTTGATGTTATTCACCGAAAGGTACTGCTGTGCTGGCGCCGCCCCCAGGGCACACTGAGACAGTGTTGGAGACTGGGTGTGGCGGTGTGCACCTGTAATCCCAGCACTTGGGAGGCTGAAAACTGGCGGATCACTATGAGTCCGATCTACATAGTGAGCCCCTGTAGGCCCTGTAGACCCTATGCTAAATAAAATTTAAAAAGAAAAAAAAAAAAGAGTCACAATTAATAACATAGACTAAGACACAAGATTGGCCAAGTGATAGAGGACAAAAAAAATTTTTTATTTATTTATTTGGTGCAGGGTCTCATTATGCAGCTCAGACTCATAGTGATCCTCCTGTCTCCGCCTCCCCAGCGCTGGGATCACAGGCATGCACCACCAAGCAGTTTCGCTGGCTGGCTGAGTGCAGGAACACTGTGGCATGTGGTACCAGGAATCAACTCCAGGTCCTTGCACTTGCTAGGCAGGCACTTAGAGCACTGAGCTATCTCCCCAGCCCCAACAATTTTATATAAAAGAGAAATAGTCTCTAAGCTTCCAGTGATACAAATGTCAACAATACAATAAAGGTTGAATACTTTGGCTGGTCTTAGACTTATACTCTGTGTCTTGGTTTGCATCAAAAAGATCCCCAGGAGGCGTCTGTGTTCAGGGGTGAGATCTAGAAAGTCCTGGGTCACTGGCTCACTGAACTCATCAGTGGATTAACTCCTTGAGAAGTAACTAAATGTGCTGTCAGGAGATGGGGCCTGCTGGAAGGTGTCCTGAGGCACGTGGCCAGGAAAGGGCATCTGCTCCTGGTACTTCCGGCCTCTGCCCCACGATCCCTCTCTGCCTCCCTACTGCCCGGAAGTAAGAAGCTCTCCTCCACCATGCACTCCAGCCCAATGCTTCTGCCTTGGAAGCACCAACCATGGACTGAACCCTCTGGCCCTTTAAGTTGGGCATCTCAGATATTTTGCCCCAACAACAGAAAGCCCTGCAAACTATGGTCTGTTTGCAAAATATACAGCAATATGAAGTATTTAAAAATTTATTCAAGGGCCAGCGAGATAGCTCAGGGGATTAAGCGCCTGCTTAGGCAAGTGCAGGGACCGGGGTTTGATCCTCGGCACCACATGCTGCACCAGCCCCACCCTCGGAAGCCCTGAGCCAGCCATGGAGTCCAGGAGTGGTAGCACACGCCTGTAATCCCAGTGCTGGGAAGGCTGAAAACAGGAGGATCATTACGAGTCTGAGCTGCATAGTAAGACCCTATGCCAAAGACATTAAAAATAAATTATAAATATTCAAACCAACCAGGAAATGAATCAGCTCAATAAAATGAGATTATCGGAGGAAACACAAGTTATAAAAGGAACTATTAAACTGTGAAATTAACCCTGTATTTCTGATACATATTCTCTGGTGCTTTATCCATTAAACATGCTTGGGGAGATAAGAATTCTGAATGCTTCGTGTCTGAAAATGGCTTGTGTCCTTACATATCAGATACTTTAGCTAGATATGAAGTTCTAATGTCATGTCATTTTCTCCCAGAATTTCTACAAGACTTTCAGCATCCTGTTATGAAAGTGAAAAATCTGGTGCTTATTTAATTTTTGATCCTTCTATTTTTATATTCTGTACAGGACTAGGTTTTTATCTTCAATGTTCTGAAATTTCTCATCCACATATGTAGGTGTAAACCATTATTCATTCATCCTGCCTAATGCTCCATGAACCCTTGTCATTAGAAAGCAAAGTTTTTCCCATAATCCTAGGAGTTTTTCTACTGAATCTTTAAGAATTCTTCAAGGGCCAGCCAGATAGCTCAGCAGACTAACGCACCTGCTTAAGCAGAGCGCAGCGCCCATGGTTTGATTCCCAGCCTGCCGTACCAGCCCAGCCCCCAAGGCATGCTGAGATGTCAAATGACACTGGGCATGGTAGTGCGCACCTGTATTCCCAGTGCGTGGGACTCCGATCTCTGTAGTGAGACCCTGTAGACCCCGTACCAAATACATTAAAAAAAAAAAAAAAAAATTCTTCATCAGCTTTTCGCAACAGGTTTGCCAAAAGAGCATGGGGGTAGTAAAAACTACCACTAAATCAAAGCCAACGTGGGAAAGGAAAAAACGCACGTTAATATCGTCATCATCGGACATGTGGACTCTGGCAAGTCCACCACCACCGGCATCTGATCTACGAATGCAGTAGCATCGACGAAAGAACCACTGAAAAATCTGAGGAGGCTGCTGAGATGGGGAAGGGTTCCTTCAAGTACGCCTGGCTGGTGGACAAGCTAAAAGCCGAGCGTGACAGTGGTATCACCATTGACATCTCCCCGTGGAACTTTGAGACCAGCAAGTATTGTGTGACCATCACTGATGCCCCTGGACACAGGCACTTTATCAAAAACATGATTATAGGAACATCTCAGGCTGACTGTGCTGTCATGATATTGTTGCTACTGGTGTTGGTGAATTCGAAGCTGGTATCTCCAAGAACGGGCAGCCCCATGAGCGTGCCCTTGTGGCTTACACACTGGGTGTGAAACAACTAATGTTGGTGTTAACAAAATGGATTTCACAGAACCACCCTACAGCCAGAAGAGACACGAGGAAACTGTTAAAGAACTAAGCACCTACATTAAGAAAATCGGCTACAACCCTGACACCGTAGCTTTTGTGCCAATTTCTGGTTGGAATGGTGACATGTTGGAGCCAAGTAGAACATGCCTTGGCTCAAAGGATGGAAGGTCACAAAGATGGCAATGCCAGTGGAACCACACTACTTGAAGCTTTGGAGTTCATCCTTCCACCCATTTACCCAACCAACAAGCCTTTGAGGCTGCCCCTAAAGGATGTCTACAAAATTGGTGGTATTGGTACTGTCCCTGTGGGCAGAGTGGAGACTGGTGGGGGCAGGGCTGGCATGGCATACGGTATCAGGAATCAAATCTTTGTCGCTGCATTTGCCAAAGCAGGCGCTTAGTCCACTGAGCTATCTCGCCAGCCCAAGCCCTACTTTTCTTGATTCTGCTTCCAACAGAAGGCTCCAGTTCCTTGAGAAAAACTTACTACACTGAGATACTAGCAAGAGCTGGGAGAACATCTACATCTAAGAAGGGCAGGAAAAAGAATTTTCATTTGAAAATTTTCTAAAGTAATGTTCTAAGACAAGGGAGGCCAGGAGGGCTGGCCAAGAGCTTAGCCAAGTTAACTGGAACTTGAAAACCAACTTGAAGACTAAACACTTGAAATTTCAGATTTCCACGCACAAGATACAGAAGTACTAAAGCTTTGTAGACCTGTGTCTAACAACAAAAAAATGAGGCTCTCAAATTCATAAAATCCCCCCCCCCATTCCTGTCACTTCTGCACTGTGGCCAGTCTCTCTCCCTATTGATGATCAAAAAATTCTCACTGGCCCCCTTTGACCTTTTTCAAAGGCCAAAGTCACTTTCCATAGGAGTCTTTGCTTGCATCCAATCTTGAAATCAGTAAATGCTGTCTCTTCCTTGTATGGTACCAGGGTTCTGCCTTCCTTGTCCCCGGTACAAGCAAACTCCCATCTGCATCGAATGCTTTCGTCCTTAGAACCAAGGCATCATCTGCCTTCCAGTATATCTCTAGGTATTGCTCAGCAGGCGTCAGACATGGCGAAGAGTGAAGGCAGAAAACGAGGGTTCCAATCCATGACATTCAGGCATCTTTGTTTCTAGCAGTAAATACTATTTTCCCCCCCAGGGGCAAATTGTCCTGACATAGATCTTGGAGGGGAACCAGCGCATTTAAGGTGGAAATGTAATTCTCCAATTTAATGTCGGCAGAATCATCACCATCACATGCTTATAAGAGATGCGGGAAACAGACGCGATGGTCACTGGTTATAAAAATGTCTCCTAAGTTTTAACTGACAGAAAAACAAGTATCTTTCAGCTACACTGAAATTCTGTCCAGCAACCTGTGCTTTCTCATGTGCATAAAGGCATGAATGCTGTTAACCTTTTGAACTCCCAGAAATGGAACTTTTGGCTGTACTCAGTTATATAACTCTCGTGTTTTTAGCACACTACCTGTTGTGCTTTCCCGGTGTTACCTTCACTTATATACCTACCTGCATATGGAGCAGGCTTCACTAATTCCAAGTAAAACACAGCCACTTTAATCATTACTACTACATTAGATCTTTAAAATTCTTCATCACATAGGGAGCGAAACCAGCAGCGATTGCAGCAAGCATCTCCACTGCGAAACACAACTCATCTCGTCCTACACAAATATTAGTCGTCGACGTGGCAATAGAATAACTTCATTCCGTTTATACTTTGTCCTCGGTACCGGTGTTTTTCCTGACGTGCGTTTGGCTTTAGCTCCCCGCTCCATCGGATGGTGTTAACACTGGGACTGCTCCGACGCGCGCGCCACCTCCCGGGGCAGGAGGCCGGAAGCCAGGTCGGGCCGGCCGCCCC